GGCTCTGGGATTCACACAGAGAGCTCAGCGTATGTGGCCCTCAGGCCACCCAACCTGGAGACGTTTGTCTGAGACCACCCTGCCAGCTGCACCATCTCCGGTACGATGGACAGTGGCCGGGGTGCGGGTGGGGGTGGTGGGAAGACTGGCCTGTTGCAGAGATGCACGGACATGAATAAAGTTTTCAGAGTAATGCCTCTGAGCATTTGCCGCCTGGAGGCTTGAAACCACCTAGAGTTTTCTTGATGAAGGGAAATGCTTGAACCCTCACCTACCCCCTTGCTGTTGACAAATATTTGGCCAGTGGGGTGCTGAGGCCAGGCTGGAGCGATTGCCCTCTGCCCAGGAGTGCGTTATCTCACTGGGTGCGGGTGCTGGGTTGTTCTCTGTTTGCTCTCTGTACACTTAGTAGGTGGAGTGGGGTGGGAACTGGCTTTGGTGCCCGTGATTCACACTGAATCTCAGTTCTCTTTGGAGTGGGGCACGGAGGCTCACCCTCCCGTGAGTCCCATCTCCTGCCACTCCTTGACCCCACCTCTTGCCCGGCTCCCTGGCCTTTGGAAGCCCTTGTGGTTGCTTCAGCATCCTCTGGGCTTGGCATAGGCCCTTTCCTCCCTCTGGAGAACCACTCCCTGACTCTTTGGCCTGGTTAACCAGTTAAGTCCACCACTCCCTTCAAGACTCAACTGAAGCCATGCATAGTCCACACGTTACCCCTCGAGGCTGATTGTCAGCCTGCATTGTAACTGGCTGCTCGCCCTCCCATCCGTGGGTGTTGAGTAGTGCTGGGCATGGTGCCAGACGCTTCACACTCACATCCACAGTCTCAGCCAGTTCACACCAGCCCACAGCATGGGGAGACATCTGCCAATTTACAGAGGGGGAAGCCAGGCCCAGAGGCGAGTCCCTACTGCAGCCTCCTGCAGTGAATTCAGCCCTCTGAGGATGCCCTGTAGGAGTTGGCATGAGAGGAGGGAACCTTCACCCATCACTGCTGTCGCAGCTGCCACCGTGCCCTGCACTAGAGTCTCACAGCGGCCCACAGCTCTTCTACAGAGAAGACCAGAGCAAAGGGACATGCTCCTAAGGGAAGGGGCACAACTCCATGGCAAAGCTGGAACAGGAAGCTGTTTCCATTTCACAGACATCTGGCTGGGAATAAAATCTCTCCTTGCTCAGCTTTGCCTTTTTCTCTTACTCCTCCTGGTCCTCTCAGAGTGGCCCTGCACCATCCCCAGCACCCTCCGAGATGGCCCCCATGGCCCTTCCCGCAGCACAGCCACCCTGCACTCCTCCCTGGGCATCTCCTGGGCAGGGCTGTGAGGGGAAGGCCTGCTTCCCCCTCCTGGGAGCAAAACCCTGTGCTGAGGATATTACCTTCACATGGCTTGTCATCTAAAATATGTTTCTGGGGCAGAGGAGGACCGGTGGCACCCTTCCTGTAAGAACGTCCCTGGGAACTGGGTGTTCCTCAGCTCTTTCTGGCTTGGAGGCTCCAGAGAGATGAGACACACTCCCCAGGGCCCCCCAAATGGTGGAAGACAGATTGGGCCATTGTGGGGGCTATGACAGAGAGATATTTTGTAAAAGTCCCCTTGAGAGAGAATGTATCACCTTGAGGACATTGTGCTAAAGGAAAGAAGTTAGTCACAAAGTCCATATATTATATGGCTCCATTCGTGTGAAAGTTCGGAATAGGGAAATCTATAGAGACAGAAAGTATCCCAAGAACGGAAAAACAAGCACCACGTGTACTCACCAGCAAATTGGTATTAACTGATCAACACATAAGTGCACATATAAGAATAACATCTATTGGATGTCGGGCAGGGGGGAGGGGGCAGGGGGGAGGAGGGGATGGGAATATGCATACACAAAGAGTGTGATGCGCACCATCCGGGGGATGGACACGCTTGAAGCTGGGACTTGAGGGATGGGGAAAGGGCAACATACGTAACCTAAACATCTGTACCCCCATAATATGCTGAAATAAAAAAAAAAGAAAGGAAGTAGATTAGTTGCCTGGGGAGGGGCAGGGGAGCAGTAGCTGAGATGGGATTAACTTCTGAGGTGATGAAAATGCCCTAAAATTCACTGTGGCCATGGTTGCACGTATCTGTGAATATACCGAAAACCATTGAATTGCACACTTTCAGTGGGTGAATTCTATGGTCTATGAATTATATCTCATTAAAGCTGTTTTAAAAAAGAAAAAGAGAATTCCTCCCCTCCATCTCACTATGAAACCTTTTGCTATAGAGAAACCATACAGAGAAAAAAAGTCAGCTAAATTTTTTGAAGGACCTATTTTCAAGGCTGTGCCCCCAGAGGCAGGGTGGGACACCATGGACAGGGGCCTGCCATAGACTTCGGGAATCTGCATGAAAGTGTGGTGGGGGGAGGGAGAGGGAGAGAGAACACAGAAAAGCACACCCCACCCCCCAAACACGTCGAAGTCTGGCTTAACCTAGAGCCCAGGCAGCAGCTGCGTCCAGCAGGTGGACTCTGTAGGAGACTCTGTAGCAGGCCTCAGTGCACCGGCCTCACCCCGACGCTGCCTTGTTTCTCCTGCCCTCGCTTCCTGACCATGGGTCCCATCTCAAGCCGCGAGGGGAGAATGGCGCAAAAAAAGGTGCGGTGAGCCGACTGCAGACCAGCAACCAAGGCCACGTTCTCAGATTTTGCCATTTCCAGGTGCCGCCTGTGCATCAGTTTACCTCCTATGTATTAATATTTTACAGTTAATATATTTCCCAAAATAACAGCATCACTGCGTAAACATAGAAACAACCCGGTTCACATTTGCCTCCCTGTGCTCTAGGAGAACCCCAGACACCTGGCTCCACTCCGAGCACTTCTTGCCTTAGAAAAACCGAAGAGGGTGAAGGAGGGAATCGTTTCCTTGCTGTGGCATTCAGTCATCCTCAATGCCATGCCCATTGGTCACCCACAAGCGCCTCTGGCCCACCAGGCCCCACTGGGATCCCATCATGGAGTTTTTTCCCTGCCACGTGCAACCCAAGCCGCCCCTTTGGGGTTTGGCTCATAAGCAGCTGTAGTGTAGTCACACCCAGCTACCAGGAGACCAAAGGCCAGTTAGCTAACTTGGGCACTGTGCATGGCCAGACAGGGTCCTCCCCTTGTCTCCCGCCAGGGAGGCAGCTGTATGCAAGGCAGACCTTACTTCCACTACTACCTGCTCAGACGAAGTACCATCTCGTCACTAAAAAAATACACTTGTGTTTGTGCCAAGTGCTGCAGAGATGCACAGGACTCCCTGGGAGCATATGAACAAGGGACCCACTCAGATCAGTCCTCCTTGGATGGTCAGGAGAGGGATGTCCCTCCCTCTGCCCACTAGACGGATATACCCAATCTATCCTTCTGTTTCTCCATGCCACACCCTCCTGCCTCCACCAGAAGTCCTCCTCAGCCATCAATGGGCTCGTGTCACTTTGTCGGTGCCTGTTATGGAAAAGGCCAAGTAATCTGTTTGATCTTAAACACAACTGTGCATGAAATCTACACATACATCTTATTCTGTGGTGGTCTGAGGATTTTTATTTAATTGATTTTGCTCCAGTTCTGACAAGGCATACAGTGTGACCCCCTGGCTGTGTCACATGCCTCAGGCAACTTAGGATCCATCAATCAGCAGAGGACATGTTCTGGTCAGAGATGCCCATATCCCATTCACTAGCCACAACCTGTTTTGATAAATCCAGATTCTTTGGGCACTGATTTTTCTACCCAAGTGTGATTGTCTCCTGATGCTTCTCAGCCAAGTGGCTCAGAGAGCACCCGTGGAGAAAGCGGTAGCTCTTACTCAGCAGGTGGGCAGCAGCAGGTCCAGGGAGATGGGGTCAAGGTATTATGTGAGCTCACACCCCAGGGGACTTCAGATGGAGAGGGCAGCCCCGTCTTCAGCCCTAGATGCTCAGAAGATGGTGCCAAGCTCGGCAGTACCTCAAAGACCTTCGGCTGCAAAGCCACCTCCACAGGTGCCCAGCCCGCTCCAAGTCCAGCCCTTATCTGGGTGGGGACAGGTGGAGGGGGCTGAGCTGATTTCCCACTGGGGCAAACAGGAGCGGGGAGGAGGAGTACAGAAAACCCCAGCCAGGGTCTGTGTGTGCGTGTTCACAGCAAGGAGCGCGACTGTGCCATTGAGGGCTCTTACTGGCCCCTCTATCTGTCCTTGTGCTCTTCTTTGAAACGTGGTGCTCACTGACCCTGGGACATCAACTGGGGTGTCTTCTGGATAACCACAGGGGTGAACTTCTCTCATGCCTGTCCTTGGCCATCTGAGGAGACGGCTGACCTGGGCCGTCTGTACCGCAACCCCAACTCCAACAGAGCACTTCTTGAATTTAAGGATATAGGGGTCAAATCTCAAAAAGTAAAAAAAAAGCAAGCAAGAAAGAAAATCCTAATGACATAGTGTGGCTAATTTGTTTGGCCAAGTAAAAACCAAAAGAATCTGCTAGTTGCCACCATTTCATAAAAAAACTGCTATTTTAGTATCAAAGCAAGTAGGAAGGACAGAATCTCAGAAGCCCTTCCAATACTGCAAGACATAAGTCCTTTCTTGAAATGATGTTACTCAATTTCCACTGCCTCAGTTTCCCCATTTGACAAATGGATCAGTACTTTGCTCATAGGGTTGTTGTGAGAAATAACTGAGTTGGTATTTTTGAAGTGCTTGGGACAGTGCCTGACATAATAAGTGTGATATAAGTGTTTGTTAAATAAAAAATTAAAATTGTGTTTAAATTATGAATAAAATCAAGCCCATAGAGAATCGAAGAGGCTGAGATTTGGGATCCAGCGAGGCCCTGGGGGGATGAAAGATTCATTTGTGGTGGTGACGGTGCCTGCCCTGTTCTTTTTGCCTCCCTCCTGTGCTTCCACACCCCAGGCCCAGTGTGACCACTGGGTCTGGGCCCTTCCTGGACTTGGGCTCTCCTCTGACCCGACACTCACCCCTGCCCTCTCCCCTGCAGGTCTTCGGGGGCCTGGTGTGGATCCTGATCGCCTCCTCCCTGGTGCCCATCCCCCTGGTCCAGGGCTGGGTGATGTTTGTGTCTGTGTTCTGCTTCGTGGCCACCACCGCCCTGCTCATCCTGTACATAATTGGTGCCCATGGCGGGGAGACTTCCTGGGTCACTCTGGTGAGTCCCAGCCCAGGCTTTCTTGGGGGGGAGGGGAGGGGCAGCATGGACCCTGGCCCTGGGTGGGTGGCCTTCCCGGTGCTGGGCGAGGCTGCCCTACAGACATCTCCCTCCCGTGTTCCAAGGCGGAGCTGGCCTCGCAGAGGTGGAGGCAGAGGCTGAGGCTTCCGCGCTGGTTCTCACTGGGCCCGCCCCTTGTGCTCCTGCTCAACTGCCTTTTCATGGATAGCCAGCCGCCCACCCTCTCCCCACACCACTCGCACCGGCCAGGTGCCTGTTGGCACGTGCCGTCATCCAGGAGGGCTGTTGTCCCCGGGGTGACAGGGCCCTGGAGGCTGACTGAGGCTTCCATTCCTGGCGATCAGGCCACGTTACTGCCCAGCTCCTCAGCCACGGCCCCCCATGTCAATTCTGCTTGGACACCTATGAAAAGGGTCAAACGCACACTTGGGACACCTGCCTGTTGCCTGCTACAAAGGGCTGGCGGCCGCTTGGTTGAGCCTCCCACTGAGACTTTTGAAATCACTTCTGAATCTCAACCACACAAAACTTGCTTCAGTACTTTTTTGCTTTTAAATATATCAGGAGCCAAAAAACCCAAAAGCAACAAAACAAAACAAAAAAAAACAATGGAAACAGCCTGGGCCTCTCTCACCCAGCACTGGTCAGTGAGGCCACACCCAAGCCAGAATGCGGCCACGCATGACACTTCCCAGGTGCAGAACCAGCTTCTCCCTGTGGACGTCCCAGGCAGCCAGGCGGCGCTGGGTGAAGAGCCTCTGTGAGGACAGAGGCTGGGAGGGGGATGCAACTCAAAGGCAGTGGCAGGAGACAGGAGGGGGCCATAGCCATGCGATGGGGGGGTCCAGGGCCCTGCATCCGGTCCGGTGCATCTCTTTCTCCCGACCCCACCGACACCCTGTCTGACCTGCAGGACGCAGCCTACCACTGCATCGCCTCCTTGTTTTACCTCAGCGCCTCGGTCCTGGAAGCCCTGGCCACCATCTACATGCAAGACGGCTTCACCTTCAAATACTACCACGAAAACATCTCTGCTGTGGTGAGTCCTGTGGCAGAGGGTCTGAGCAGAAGGCTACCTAGGCCCTCGCTTTTTCTTCAGTTCACTAACTTTTGAGTGAAGTCAAACCTCCCCTCCTTTCTGAAGCAACAGAGTCCCTGAGAAGGGAAGTGACATGCCCAAGACTCCCTTAATCTGGGCAAAGCTGCACTGCCCAGGCCTGGGTGGGCTTTTCAGAGGGCAGACGATGACCGCTGAGCCCCCAGCACTGTCTGAGCACTCTGTGACAATCCTATTTAACCCTCGTGACAACCTTTCGACATAGGGTTATTGGACCCATTTCACAGCTGGAGAAGCAGGGCCCAGGGGCGTGGGTAACTGGCCCACCGTCCCCAGTCATTGGTGGCACCAGGTGTCAAGGCCAGGGGCTCCGTCTGCCACACTCTTAGCACCAGTCTGGCACCGTGTCTGGCCTCTTGGCCCCCTGACTCTCCAGGAGTGGTCTTCCACCCAAGCATCACCCAGGGGCAGGTGCCCTGAGGCCGGGGGTGGATTTTCTTTTTCGTGGTATGGCTCAGAATGACAGGGAGTAAGAGAGTTTATTGTTTCATAAAACATTTTTTCAGAGTTGTGTGTGTGTGCCCCTGCAGTGTACTAACTCACAATGCCAAATGTGTTTCTAACCATGGGTATTGTTTCAAAAGTAAGAAAAAGTTTCAGAAGTAACACTCCTCAGATTTCTAGAAATTGACCTATGATTTATGCGAATCCCAAGGTGGAGTGTGGTGGTAGGTCCCAGGATGCCAGCTCCGGTGGGCCAAAGCTGTGTCGCCCCTCCTTTTGGAAAGAGCATGGCAGAGGCCAAGAGAAGGCCCATAGGATGGGCATCACTGGGCATTGGAAGGGGTTTGGCGAGATGCCTCTTCCAGCTCCCAGGGAGGTGTCTGGGGAAAGTTCCTCAAAGGCTCGTCTGCCAGTCCCTCTGGGACTGTCCCCTGCCCCAAGAAGTCACACGCTGCCCTTGAGCTCCCAGCCTACAACCACTCCCCTAAACATGGCCCCTCAGGCTCCCTGGCACCCCCTTAGGGGCCCCACAGCGTGGGAACATATCCCCACAGGGCTGGTTTCTAAACAGTAGCACAGTCTGGTAGCACCTTGGGTGTCCTTCCTCCCTGGGAGGCTGGTGACTTGCCTGCTCCAGCATCCTTCAAATGATGCTGTGTCAGCTCCTCCCCCTCCCACCTGCAGAAGGCTTCTCTCTTAACAGACATCAGCACAGCATTTGAAAACAATTTCCATAAAATCGCTGTGGTCAATGATAGTGAAATGTAGACGGAATACGGTTAGTGGATCAGCTCTTGATGGAAAAACTAGATGGGGTGAATTACTGCCCCTGCCCACTGGGCAGATCTCTAGTTGAGAACCACCGGGCTCTGTCTACTGAACTCAGACTTTTCGCTTTTATTTTTTATCAAAATGCAGCATACAGCCAGAGAAGTGTGCAGGCTGTGGACAGCTCGATGAATTTTCACAAAGTTAACGCCCCCGTGTAGGCAGCATCTGTGCTAAGAATCATGATAAACAGCTCCCTGAAATCCTCCACTTGTCCTGTCCCTGTCACTGTGCACCGCCCCACCACCACCCAACTTCTGATTTCTAGTACCCAGCCTTTGAACTTCATATGAATGGAATTATACAGTGGGTATTGTTTTATGTGTGGCTTCTTTCTCTCAACCTTACATTTGTGAGATTCATCCACGTGGCTGGGTGTAGATGTAGATCTTTTATTCTCATTGCTGTAGAGTGTTCCATTGTAGGGAAGAGTAAACCAACAGCTATTTATCCATCCCACAATTGATTAAGTCCCGCAGTTTTGTTAGTTGAGTTGGATAAACATGAACATGCCCAGGCAAAGGCAGGAATGTTAGAATCAAGAATCAGAATGTTCTCAGCAGGCAGGTGCACCAGGAAAAAAACCGCCAAGATGAAATATGAACCAGGTTGGAGGTCAAGTCATGCCTTTCCATTCAAACACCAGTTGCATCAGTACATGGGGGAGAAGGAGTCATCATTACTCAGGATTTAACCCCAGACCCTGCCCAACCACAACATGCCCTTAGATGGTCTTGGGGGTGGCCAGTCTGGGGCATATGAGGGTACAGGAAGGCACCTCAAAACCTCTCTTGCACACCCTGGCCTTTGGGAGCAGCCAGCCTGCCTCGAGCCCTGTGGTTCCTAATCAGCACCTATCTCAGAAGCCGAGCTTCTCCGCTCTCTCCTTTGTTGGTGGCAGAGCTTCTTTGCCAAAGGGATCCCTGGGATTGGTGGAAGTTGACTGAGGAGAGCTGGAGATTTCTGGAGAAATTTGGGGGTTTCTGGATCTTAGCCATGGTGGGCAATCATGGCAGCAGGTTGGGGAAAGGTTTCTGAGGAGCCAAAATATGTCCATTCACTTCTCCAGCTCTAAATGTCTCCAGGAGGACAAAGAGCCTCTGTTCCTGCTCCTGTTGGGGACTGCTGAGGCGCTTCCTCCGCCCAAGGTTCTCGCTGGGCCTGGAATTCCCACCTGGTGGGGAGAGGTGCTTTTTGGGGGGCTGCTCACCTGTGTATGACTGATTGCTCCTCTCAGACAGGGTACTCAGTAGTTCCCGGATGAGTTCTCCTCGGTTTGTTATTAAATAACTAGGTTTACTCATCACCGCAGCCAATGAGGGGTAAAGAGTTCACCTGTGCGTGGCTGCAGGGAGAGCAGGCGTGGTGATGGCTGGTGTTTATGGGCATTTTCAAGAGTCACAGAAGCGTGGCCGCCCTACGTGTTGTGCCTGGGTCGAAACTCTTGACCCCCGCTCAAGTCAGAGAACCAGGTGCAAATGTTGGACTTGGGGCAGGCCAGCCTGCAGGGGACAGCCACCTGGAGTAGGGCACTGGTGCCCAGATGAACACAGCAAGTCACAGGCAACTGTTTGTCATATTTCCAGGCTTTTGTTCCCAGAGCCCAGATGGCTGACTGGATGGTCCCAACAGCCAGCCCTCTCAGGAAGCTCCTCCTTTGGACAAAAGCTCAAATCTTTGTCCCTTACTTGCTGTGAAGCCGGGCTCCCTCAGCCATCTCTGTGAAATTAAAGGTCCTAGAATAAAATCCTGATAGGGTCTGAGGATGTCCAGGTAAGCACGGAGCCAGCAAAACCAGGTAGTCACAACCTCCCAGCCAAGCTGCTGAGACCACAGCTGGGGACACTGGTCTTGCTGGTGTTGGGGGAGGAAGTTTTCCAGGGAGAGTGGTTAATGCCTGCTGGCATGCTTTCATTGGAGGGGCCTTTGAGGGCCCCATTTCAAGTCAGCTGACACCAATGTGACATTGTGTGATGGCGAATAGTTCTACCTTACACGCAAGTCCCAGAGATCACTGGGATTCAGGGCACACACGGCTCAGCAGGAAAGGATGTCTGTGTGGGCAATGGGGAGCAGCTTCGGGCCTGTCCTCCCCACCCCAGGATGCAGTGCGGACAGCCGTGCCTCACCCCGTCCCCATGCACTCCTTTACTGTTCCTTTCTCTTGGTTCCAGGTGTTTGCCTACGTAGCCACTCTGCTGTACGTGGTCCATGCGGTGTTTTCCTTAATCCGATGGAAGTCTTCATAAAGCAGCAGGAGCACTTGAGCTGAAAACCCAGACGGTGTTAACTGATCGATCCACCTTCCAGCATAACTTTTTAGAACACGGAAATGCTCTCGATGGTGGAAAAAAAGAAAACGAACCTCCCCCCAAAATAGCCATGCTCTGTTTCTGTGGGTGTCACATTTAACTTTCAACTACTGCGCTATCTTTCTAGGGTCACTTCCTGTTTGCAAAAGGGGGGCTTCCTGTCTGGGGGTGGGACGTGGGAACCGTGATCTGAGAAGGAAACAAAGATCCCCTGCTGACCCCTGGAACAGATCTTGAGAACTGCCCATTGGAATGTTCCATGGGCTCTTTCGAGCACCTCATCTTGTGGCGTGTTTCTAAGTCTTCGTGGATATTCTGGTGTCATGGGGACTAACATGCATCCAACAGATATTTCCAGATGTCCGTGGTGGAAGATGATAACCCTTTCAAATACTTTATAGAGTGCCTTTATGTTCAGTACTTTTGTGGGGTGTTTGTTGGGTTTTGGGTTTAATTCCCCAGTATCAGGAACGCCATCATTTCAGCTTTCTTTCTGAGGAATCCTTTGACTTCCTGAATCTCAAGGGGTAGCATCAAGTGGCAGTTCAGGTGATGCCGTGTGCACTGGGCCGTGGCACTCTCAGAGCTCGACGCTGGGGGCCCCACCCTCTCAGCCACGTGCGCCTGGATGGCTTCCCTGTCCCTGGAAACTGGCCAAGCACCAGCCTTGGGGCCCTCTCCGCTTTCCTACAAGACACAGTGGTCTGTGCCCAATTAGAACGTCCTTAAGCCAAAAGAAAACAAGGTGCAAAAGTTTCGCCTCATGCTTTGCACAGCTGATCAGAATGATCTGGGCAGTGTGCTCTGTGCTCTGTTCCAGTTAGTGATGCAGATAATAAATTGTTGTCAGAATTTCCTTGAGCCATTGCATAGGAGAGGAAGGGGACCAGATTACAGAGTGAAAGGAAGTACAGGGACAAGTAGGGAATGCCACATTTCAGGTATGAGATGTCTCGGTTGAAAGGAGACAGATGATTAGGAAGGAAGGCACTTAGTTAGGAATCTTGGGAAGTCCAGCTGCCCTGTTATGAAGTGTTCCCCTATCCCATGGCTCAAAGAAGCTAATGACATTTCAGAGATGGGTCACCAGAACTGGTGCTTCAAAGACCTGTCAGTTCGCAGCCAGGGAGGTGTGAGGGTAGAGGCTTCACGGCCTCCTGCAGACAGCCGCGGAGAGCGAAGAGTCAAGCCTCGGGTGGAGGGTTTGATTGGGTGGCATTTTACTACCTTTCCAACTTGGAGATCCCACAACTAAATTGGATCTTAGTGGCATGTTCGGGAGGTCCTTTGTTGTCCCAGAGCAACTGGCACCAGAAACCAGCCACTTCTAGGGAGTCCACTTAAAACAGCCAAAATTTCATAGTAAATCGTGAGCAAAAGGTTTGATTGAGGTTTTATTCTGAAAAATTAAACTACAAATTGAGAAATGATAGGAAGTTTGTCACGTATTTAACAAAATGTGCAATCAAGTGTTGGTTGACAGAAGTCTCATTTTTCAACAAAACTTCCCAATCGCATTACAGGAAGCCAGCAACATAATGCTAATGTAGCTCATTTTTGACCCCCATTAAAAATAAAAAGGAAACGAAAAGCTTATCTTCCCAAGAATTTCTCAATGTTTTGAAATTTTTATCACCCTCTTTAAAGAAACTTTCATATAATCTTTCTCTATTTTCTCTTTTTCAGTTGCAAGTTGGTCTGACTATAAAACCTTTATTAATCAAAGGCTTTGCAGATGACTCTGTGGCATGACTTTCTCATTCCTTCTATCTCGAGTCATTTTTTAACTTCGCAGTTTCATTTTGCATTTGACTTGCATCCTAATCTCATTGGACGTGAATGGGATGGCCAAGGATTCACCCCCAGCCTCAAAAAATGCCTTCTCCTGGCCTTGCTCTTCCTCCCCTGTCCCTGCCCCCTCTGACCTCCCTGCTGTCTGGTGTCCCTGCTGCCACTTCTCAGAGCTCGCTCCGTCTGTACCAGCTATGCGGTGATTGCAGCTGCAAGTGCTTGCCTGGCTCCTCTGGGAAACCATGATGCCTGGGGAGGAAGGGGATGGGAATGGGGACATTTAAGGAGGCTACTCTGCAATAGCCAGAGGTCCTCAGATCACAGAGAATGGGCATCGACTGAGCACCTTCTGTGTACTGGGACCACTGTCCCCCAAGGATGTGGGCTGATATCTGGCCCCTTAAGCTTCTTGTTGCTGGCACACCTCACCTCTCTGCCTCTGGGTCTCGCACAGGAGGGTACCTCCTCTAGGGCATATCCTGGTGTCACCCCAAGGGCCGGTGGATATTTCTTAGATGCTGCCTGCTTGGTGGTCCTAACTAGGATCAAAGCTGAGGCAGCACCAACTCCATCGTGACTGCCCAAAAGACCCAAATTCACATCTGTCTAGCCATCTTGCCTGCCACTTTCGGGGCTCTTGCCCTGGACCAGGCAGTGAGTGAACACCTGACATATGTATAACCTCCTGTCATCCCCCCAGTGGCCACATCATTGTACAGGTGGGGAAACTGAGACTCACGCAGCTGGTGAGACGTGAAGCTGGGTTTAGGGCCAGCTCCTTCTGCGCTGGAGCCCTGCGCTTGCTGACTACCATAGGGTGCCCAGACCTGTCCCTAGGCACAGCCATCTCAGGAAGTGACAGTGAGATTTAGTGGTGGACCTGATGCCACGGACAGGGGCCTCCCAAGGGGGATTAGGCTGGGCATTTGGGACTGTCCCTGACTGCCACCAGGGCCTGTGGCAGGCCACGTGGCCGAGTCCGGGCCCTGGACCTGGGTGTCCTACCCAGAGGAGCTGGCTGCTTGGTGCTGCAGCCACAACACAACCGGTTCAAGCAGCGACTGAGTTCCACTTTGCAGCCCCCACAGAGCCAAGGGCTGCCCAGTCCAGCTGATACTTTGCAAAGAAGATGAAGAACTGAGGGTTTTGAAGCTCATAAATTAAAGAGCTAAATCTTTCCACTGGCCTGAGAAAGGATTAAGAGGAAGCCAATGTCTGTGATGTGACCAAGAGCCAAAGCTTGCAGAACAGGCTGAACCATAGCCGGCCGCCTCGCTGTGGACACATAGGAACACTGAGAGCCTGGCCAGGGGCCAGGAGGCACACGGGGCCAGTGGTCAGCGAACGCAGCTGCACTAGTGAGTGGGCCCAGCGCCCTGGGGCTGTTCTAGCTGACCTGTCCTCACGCTGGGCTAGCCTCTGGCCTCTTGGGAAATGACAGTGAGAGGAGACCTGTGGTGGGCAAATGCCAGCTGAAAGTGGGGTTCAGGGACGGGTACAGCCAAGTGTTAGCTACAGCAGTTGGGAGTGGTCTGACATGGCTTTGACTGGACAGTGATTTGGTGAGTCAGTACACACCTTCCGGCCTTCCTCAGCCCTTAGGGTAGCTCTGCAGGGCTTTCAATTATTTATGGACATATGTGTGTGGGGGGGTGCAGGCTCTGGCTTGTGACTTCACAGGCTGTGGCCCCCTTGCTTTGTGGGGGCTCTGGGGCACCTCCTGGGAGCATCTTCCTGGTGGCCTTCCCTGTACAGGACAGGGGGCCTGGGGCTCTCCCCTGGGAGCCAAACTCCTGCCCCCCTATTCTGTGCACATTGGATCTTCCCTTCCGGAGAAGATGCAGTTTATACGAACTGGGCTGTGTCAACATTCTAGAGCCACATTCTAAAAATTGTCTCTTATCCCTGCAGGTTGTAGGGCTGTTTTTGCAAAGCAGCGCAAATGGAGGATTTCAGGCCTCCTTGCGCTGACCTTAAAGAGACAGCAAAGGGTTTGCGCTGCCAGCCATGGGCTGGAGCGAGCCTGCCGTGGGGCCCACACAAGGGCCTGTTGTTCTGCGAATCAATTGGGGCCGGTGTGGGGTCACAATGGGGCCTTTCAAAGAGACAAAGCGCCTCTGGCCAGGCTGAGTGTCCCTGCACACGTGGGCATCCGCCCAGGGCATTTAAAATAACACAATTTGGAAAAACAGATTTCAAGTGATTTTCCCCACTCTCTGTGTGATTCAATGGTCTTTGTTCTGTCTCCATTATACTCAGTCGTGGAAGCTTCTAAGAGTTGGGACACTGGAGGCAGACACTGGGGTTCCTAGCTCTGTCTTCTTTCATAGGTAACTGGGGATAATCACAGTGCCAGGCTATCTAGTTGGTACCAGAGAGGCTTGGTCCATGCAGGGTGCTCAGCTGCCAGGGCTTCCTTCAGCCTCACACACTTGCCGAGAGCTGCCAAGGAGGCAGGCACCCAGGGACACGAAGGGCGACATGACTTGCCAATGCCACACTGTGTGCTGGGTGCTGCTTGAAACACTTTGCTTCTTCGCCTAATCCTTATGACAACCTTATGTGGTAGAAACCATTTAGAAAGGTTAAGGATTTACCCAAAGTCACACAGCAAGTAGGTGTGGGTTCTAGTCCCAGCAGAGTGGCTCCAGGGCCCCAAGGTGAACTGTCATGCCCCATGTCTCACCGTGACAGGATCCCCGTCCCTCTGGAAGCAGGGTGCACAGACATGCCAAGAAGCCCCTCACACCCACAGCACTGACTTCACCAATGCTGAAGGCTCCAAATGACACTGGACGAGTGTTGGGGAACCCAGCCAGGAGCCCAGCCTGGGAAGGTGTGTCTGAGATGAGGGTGACTTTGCCAGACAAAGAAGTCAGGAAGGGCTTCCCCAGGGAGAGCAAGGGTGATCCAGGCCAGATGTGTGTCGGGGGCAGGGGTGTGTCTCGGGAGGGTGGGAGGGCCCTGGGCGCTCCTGAAGGCAGAGCTGCAGCTCGGCTTTTACCCGAGGGCGAGTCCTGCAGGGGCTTTCTGTTGGGCAGCAGCAGCCGTCCGGCTGAGGGACGCTGTGGGGATGGTGGCAGTGCGTGGGCAGGCAGGGAAGTGGGACAGACTTGACTAGATCTTGGTGAAATGAGAGCCAGTGG